TAATGATTAACTCAAGGTAATGATCCCCCTAAGAAAATAGCAATTAAATTTCATGGCTGTTAACAAGTACTGAAGGTAGTGACACTCCAATAGTAAAGCCCTGGCCAAATGGACCCGCAAGTACTGTAGAGGAAAGCTCAAAACTTGGGTCTACTTGCAATTTCGTTTGGCCAGGCCTTGGGTGCACTTGCGTTGACCTGCAATGACTTGCGCTCACTTTGGTCAAGATCAAATTTGCATGCAAGTCAATGCAAGTTTTCACAGTTGGGCTACGCACTGTCGTCAGCTACATTGTATCACATGTGATCTCTGATGGAAAACAAATATACATGTCTGACTTCACATGGCTTAAAGCAACCAATCAGCAAAAACCATTTGCCAGGCAAACAGTTGGAAGAGCATAAACAATGGTGTGACAACAGGCGAATTTTTTTTGTCTCACGCTTCACGCTTGTGGGCACATTTCGCTTTCTGCCCTGCTAATCCACCTGTTCTGCAGGCTACATGATCCTTAACGTATGTACTTTGTCAAATATTTTTGCAAAAGGGGAATTCCTGAGAAACAATAAAAAGCAAGCCGAACCAACCCGCTCCAAACTTATTTACCAATTCTGACAGGGGTTACATATCGGTAGTGAAAGACTGATCCAAGTTTTCACTCACAATGCTTTCAGTACTGACAGCTGGACACAAAGCTTATGAGGGCTTAGTTACTCTTCTTTCACGTATTCATCAAACACCTTTTCCTGATTGCAGTTGCCTCTTGACCCGGGGGGGCACTGCCATATATGGGCTATATAGGTATGTGCCATTGTGAAGGGTATGGTTTTCAAGCAGTTTACTCTAGTATAGGGTATATAAATCAGAGCATTTGGGTCTAGAATAGGGTATCATTTTTCACAAAACTGACCAGTTGGTTGAAGATTTTATCTGGAGTAAGGAAACCAGGAATTGCCACTCAAAAATATAAAAAAGTCAAATCGGCAAGTTTAAATTTACGCAGATCAGCCTCAACAGTGTCCATAGATGGGGGGATTTGGGGAGTTTACTCTAGTATAGGATAACAAAATTCAGCTGAACTAGCTCTGGTATAGGTTAAGGGTTCCAGGGTCCAAGCGGCACATCCCCACCCAGAAATTCCCAAAGTACCCCCCCCCCGGGCTCGGGTCCCGATCGGGTTTCAAAGACAGAGTTAAGACAGTGTTTTCGCGCACGGCGTGCGAAATAAAGCTAGGGTAAAGCAAGGGTTTCAATGAGGGCGCAGAAGAGAATTCTTTTCTGCGCCCTGGGGCCCGTTTCTCGAAGGTCCCGAAAAGTTTTCCCATCCGGAAAGCCGTAGCAAGATCTCAAACCTTTTGACTGCAGAGCAGTTTTATTCATATGTTCTTAATACAGAGGTTCTCTTCATTCAAGAAGTTTTAGGCGTATACACCTCTCTGTCTTTAAATACCGATTAACTATTCGAGAAATGGCTTTTCGGGCCCGAAAAGATTCAGTGCGGGGCTTTCGAGAAACGGGCCCCAGTGGTTTGAATAGAGCTGACGAGCCGAACTGATGCGTGTCCCTCAATTTTATTTTAATTTCGTAGCTTTTAACTTTATGATAAAGGACTCTTCACCTTTGGCAGCGATACACTATTCTTGCACGACTTACACCCGGGGCTTACATTACTGGCGTATAGCGATTACCTAATCTAGTAATGGGCTAACCTTCTCAAACAGTAACTTATAGACGTGTTTGGGTTTTTCAAAAGATCCCAAGAAGTGGTCGTTGACAAGAAAGCTAGAAGACAAATAAACTGAACTCACAAGAATAACAACCAGGGCCGTGAGAGTGACCTTTGGTCACCTTATATTCGTGTGAAAATATGTAAAACGTTGAATAGCAAAATGCTAGAACATTCCCTAAAAAGACTTTAAGAGACATCTACGTTTAGGGGTCAGTAAACGATAAAAAGGTGTACGTGTATAAACATTCATGTATTTTTTTTCAGTCAGTACAATGAGAACGAATTCATGGAATAAAAGACTGCGCCACAAGGTTTATTTCATTTATTTCATTTTAAAACTATAAATAAGGCCCTCGAACGCTTTATATTCTACCAATTTTCTTTAAGTTCAAAAGAGCAATAATAAAGTAAAGAAAATTCCTTACTCTTTTTGTTTTAGTCAAAAACTACGTTTCAAAATTGGCAACTGTGAGTCGCTACGGTTACAAAGTCGATGTCCATGCACAAACTTATTCTTGTTTCTACTTTTAAATAATATACGTCGTTTGTAACAATACTATAATTATATTATTCAGTCAACCACTTTTATCAAAACATTTCTTAAAAATCTGGGAGCATTTCTCCTCTTGATATCGACGGTTTACTCTCGCTTTCTCTTTAATCATGGTCTATTAGTTATCAGTCTGTCCTCTGCTCGATCGGTTCACCACTTGCTTGGACAACTTGTCATTGGATACACGATGCGTGACGCCAATTGTACTTCTACTAACTTGCACAAAACCTCGCAGTAAACTTCCTGAAATGTCATGGAGGTGACAGAACTCTGTGGCCTCTTCTCTGTAAAGTTTGCTTTGAAGATCATCAATGAAGGGCTGGGAACAAATTGTCCTGAAGGAAAACTTCTTCAAACAAATCATCACATTTCAGAAGCCGTGTACTACCAATCAAGAGCTGAAACAAAAATTTAAAATATACATAACATTCAATATACAAAACGTTGATGGGGAAGTGATGAAGAGTAATGGCATCTTCCCAACCAGCACATCCATGATGAACACACAGATTCAGTTACGGAAAATTTAAAGTTGGTTTATATTATACACCTGGATAAAAACAGTAGTATTCGCGGTAAATAAGTTGAATGGATTTGTCTCTGAGCATACTGAAATGTTACCGCGAAAGAAAACCCAATTTTCAAGTTATGTTCTAAAGTAAAGCTGACTTTAAACAGCTTTCTAGGCTGGGCACACGTTCTGTAGATGCACGCTATAAACTAGCTTTGTAGAGACCGCCAATTCTCAGCTGATGTATTCAGGTTAATACTTTCAGGTCACAAGCTGACTTTATTCGGCTATCCTTCAACAGGTCACTTACGAGTTACCTTGTGCCTCTTTTTCGAAACGAGTCCTTGTGCAAAACCTTTCATATGAAAATGAATTTGATGTGCGTGAAAAAGAACCTGTAGGTGGGACGCATTTTCATATGAGTGGACTCGTTTTGACACAGGCAAAAGTCAACTCAAAAATGGCCTATTGTACCCTAGATGGCGAAATCATGCATTTCGTCAGCATAAATAAACGCTAACGATTAGAGCGGCCCTGTACCTCCTACAAGGACAACTAATTACTACCTACAGATCATGGAAATAAGACGCACTCGATCTCAACTTGAGCGGATATGCAAGTTTGAAATCCAAATAGTTGCCTTTCCCTTTCCAAACTGCCTGTTTTCAGTTGCTATAGTGACATGGTCACTGACCTGTGTGTTAGGATGGTATGCAGCAAGCGCTTCCCTTATTTGGTGGACCTCAGAACACGTGATTCCTCCAACAATGTAAAGCACCAATAATGGATGGTCGTTAGGACGAGGCTTGCTCACATTCATAAATAAACTGAATCAAAGAACAAAACACAGTGGTCAATTCACGACATTTATAACACGTTTCCACTACTTGCGATTAGTACACGGCTCTAATATATGACCGCAGCTATAACCAGATATGGCTTGTATTTGCGTAAACATTTGAGAAGAACTACAATAACAATTAATTCCTTATAAACAAGATGTCCAATGCCAAGCCAGAGTGGAAAACATAACCTATTTCAGACAAAATGATTAAAATCTTTACCCCTTTTCAGACCAAAACAGCTAAAAGACCTGACCCTATATAGCCAATCTAAGGGAGTAGCCCCCGCCTGGAGCTTTCCCACTTTGGCCAGTGTTTACCTAAATCCCGTTTTGATGAAATCCTTCAGTCCGTGTGACTTGAACTCAATGTCTGGAAGCTCAGGTGATTCAGGGCTAAATATGCCATCTATGATCTGAAAAAGATAGGACTGATGAAAACAAATTTTAAGTACGCAATTAAATCATTGATAGCTTAACTAACATGAAAACTCTTTTTTACCTACATGTGGGTAAAAACGAGTGGTCTTTTAACCTGTTTACCAAGTGGTCTTGAAAACAAAAGCCTGTTTGACGAGTGGTGCAAAAACACAAACCTGTTTGACGAGTGGTGTAGAATACAAACCTGTTTGACGAGTGGTTGATACTGAGCTGGTTTTAATGCAGTCCCCGTCTGAAATACATGTCTGTTGACAAGAAAGAAGAAAATAACATTTAAGTACGACAAAGTCATTTGTGAGGAAACAAAGTGTAGAGGTTTTCATTCAGGAGTTTTCTTTTTAGTTGAGAATGAAGTCCTTGCAAATACCACTTGTCTCATTTGTCTCAACGAACCATGCGGGATGGTTTAAAAATGCTCATGTGGTCAGTGAAAAACAATTTTCACTGACTAAATACCACAGTCGTTATCAACAACACTCACTTATGCCATCAACACACACTTACTTCACTATTTTAGACATTTAATGTATATTCTAGACTTTTATCTTTTAGAGGACCC